CTCCTCTGAATCAGAATTGACTTGAGGATTTTAGTTTTTGTTCGGTTTTGGGAAGCACAAGACAAGGGATCCCTGGTAGCACTGTGGTTAAATGTTGTTGTTGTTAACTGCTGTCGAGTCCATTCTGACTCATAGCAACCCTGTAGAGGGTTTCTGAGGAGTGGCTGGTGAATTTGAACTTTTGACCTTATTGTTCAAACCGACTTTGTGATCCATGCGTGATCCCATGGTATTTAAATATTTGACTGTGGGCTAATATGTCAGACTGCAAAGTCTTTTGAACTGCAAGGTCAGTGGTTCAAGCTCACCAGATGCTCCTTGGAAACCCTTTACAGGGTAGCTATGGGCGCTGTGGGTTAATGCACCAGACTTCAAAGCCGTTTGAACTGCAAGATCACTGGTTCAAGCTCACCAGCTGCTCCTCGGAAACCCTATACAGGTCGCTATGGGTTGGAGTTGACTCAACGGCACCTAACAACAACAACAACCACAACATGAATCAGAATCCACTCGATGGCACTTAACAGACGTAACAAGTGAAAAGTTCAGAAGCTCAAACTTATTCTCAACTAAGTTTGAAGTCAAACTACCATTCTAAGGGAGGAAGATGTGGCAATCCGCTTCCATAAACACTGTAGCCCTGAGAGGGTTGCAAAATGTACCCTTGGGTTGTTTAAATGATTATATATTCCAGAATGTTTTTATGTAAATAAAAAACAAAACAACAACAAAAAAAAACCAACACAGAGGTAAAAGAAGCAAATACTGTTGAAGGATAATGAATGGAATTCCAGGGATTGTAATCATTGCAATGAAACGAAATACGATAGGATGAGTATAGAACTGTTCACTCAATTCACAACAAACACGTAAAAAAAAAAAAAAAAGCGGTGGAGCTGAAAAGTAGAATGATAAATACATTTACAATGATTAAAATAACAAAACACAGAGTACCTGCTTATGTGTAAGTAAACACCTCACATGACTTAGTTCCTTGGTTTAGAGGTTTAAGGTCATGGTTTCATTGTACATCCCAGTTAATCTGCCTAATAAAATGTTTGTTGTTGTTAGGTGCCATGGAGTTGGTACCAACTCATAGCGACCTTATGCACAACAGAATGAAACACTGCCCAATCCTGGGCCAACCTCACTACTGTTGCCACGCTGGA